ACTTCATTTGGGTGCAAGTTTTGTAATGTATTTCTGTGTAAAGATGACTGCTTTAACAGGTACCATGCCTGTATGCTACAGCATTGAGTAATATTTTTTTATAATAAATTAGAAACCAAGTGAATTGTAAATAAAATGTTTTTTTTTTTTAAATGAAATGAAACTACAGTGTCCTTGTCTTCTTTTCCCTGTGTACATGTCAACTTACCAGGCTCGCACTGAATTGGTAAAAAGTTTTGGGTAATGGGAGTACAAATATGCAAATTAGTAATGGGCCCTGCAACATTGTTGCAACAAAGTATCTATGGTGTGCAAAGGGTTAATGTATACTGGTTATTTGCTTGAAAACCTAGCATGATTTGAAGTAGAAAGTAGAAAAACAGTCTTGTGTAAATGAACTTGCTGATTAACATGTACTATGAAATCCACTGTTTGCCATCTTTCTCAAAATAAATCTGATAATTTTTTTGCGACATTAATAGAACATCAAAACAAAATGTAGGTACTATATTAATAATGTGATTTCTGTATTTATTTTTGTGGTTGTTTCAATATATATAATTGGATATGCCTGGACCAATTACATTAAAACTTGCATGCATCTTGGGATACATATGCATGTCATTTGGTTTTGTGATGAGATTTAAGATGGCTGAATAGCTGCCAATTTTGTGCTAAAATCATATCAGACCAGATCTTGGGCATGTATGAATTTTTGTTTTATTATGTTTCATATATTTCCTTATTTTTTCAGATACAAGAAAACGTAAACAACCTGCCAAATTTTATTCCTACATACAGTCCATTTGGTCCATTTGAAGTAACTTATGAACCAACAGCATACAACGACAATTCATTTTATGGCAACTCAGTGACAAGTTCATCTTTTATAGCAGTTGCTATAGCGATTGTTGTGATACTGATCATCAGTATTGTGGTGACTATTTATGCCATCAAGGGCCGGAGAAGGAATATTATTATAATGACGATACGAAGAAATGGACGCATGCTTGACAGAGAAGGAGGTAGGGCGTCTTTTATTTTATAAAATATAAAATAATATGATTACTATAACACATCTAAATCCTTGACAAGTTGACCATTAAACGCAATTTTTTCCCCGCAAAAAATGTTAAATACTTTTTCTAGATTTTTTTGTCAATTTTGGACTAAATAAACATATTTCTACATTTCTTACAGGGCTTTATCAAAATTTTTGAAAAAAGTAAAGCATTTTTTGTTACTTTGAAACCGCGATTGCAAAATTATTAAATGACTATTTATTATTATTGTATCATTTTGTATTGTAGAATACTTTCAAACATTAGCTGATGGAGACAGATCACTACTGGTACAACCAGCTCCAATTGTGTACATGCAAGATGGTCAAGCATCCACTCCACCGACCCAAGTGCCTGAGCCTCCACCATACACAGAACACGAACAAGGAGAAACTCTTCTGCCAAATGAAATGCCCCCACCATACACGGAAGCTTCAGGTTCCAGTACGGATAACCAACCATGTGATTAACACTTGATGGAAGAATGAGTTCTCCGTTTTAATTTCTATATATCACTATGCCATGGATACCTGTAGGCCTAACACCCCACCTTGTTCTCACAGCCATGTATTTGTGAAGGGAAACTTACTGCGAGAAAACCATGTTTGTTTGGTTCAGCGGTACGCTGTGTAAGATGTTAGAACTTCATGTTCATTGTGCATAGCATGTAGTCTGTACTCTCAGCAGGGCCAGACTGTCATTTTGCTAGGATCAAAGCATGTTCATGAGAAACAGTTTTAACAAATAGCAAATTTGTGTTTTTTAAAACTGATTATTACATTAATTATTTGATGAATGCTGAAATCAAAACTCTCTTGGAAAATGCCAACAAATGTTGGCTTTGCTGGTGGAGGCGCTAACTTCTGATACAACTTGGAAAACTGGCTCTGTGAAAATTGAAATGCGCAAAATTTTCACTTGCCCTAACTTGAAAATAATTCAAAAATATTCACATATCTGGACATATTTTATTAAAATGAAATTAATTTTATTCATTGTTAACCAGTTGGTATATTGGTGTTTGTTACAAAATGGCCGACGAGTGGCCATTTTGCCTTATACCACTTTCTCAGACTACATTTGTAATGTATTTATATACAAGCATACTAATTCAGGCCTTTAACTTCGTGAGCTTTATCAAAATTCATAATTGAAAAGGGTAAATTTTACTATTTCATCTTAAGTTTTTTACCTTGCCCGTAACATCAAAGATGGAAGGGAAAGTATATTAAGGGAAAAATTTCTGTCCGGCGTTGTCGTTGTCGTCGTTAATAATTGTCATTGTGTGCATAATAACTTTACTAATTCAATTCCAAACTTTATCAAACTTGGTCACCTTATTCATCAGTATAAAGTCTTCCCTGAATATGAATGACAGATTTCCTGTATGAAAATATCATGCAAAAATTGAGAAAATCTGATAAAATATTTTGACTGATCACTGATGACTGATACACATTCAAAGGTCACTGATCACACTGGAAATATGCATTGTTGTCTGTGTTCATTCAATGAAGCGAATCATTTAACTTGTAATAATATCCTTGGTATCCCATGGGAATACTAGACTGGGTTTCAAAACCAACTTATGGAGAGAGTTTTTGCACAGTCTAATACACATTTGCAAATCTAAAACAGAAAACAAGATGTCAGAAGAAAATAAATATAAGCACTGCTATGAATTGGGTGCCAATTGACAAAAGAGTTCATTCGATAAATGAAAATTCACAGGAATTTGTTTCAGCTATTAGAACAGAATGACAGAGCTTTTATAGTAATTTAAAATGCACTTTAAAAACAAAGATTGCAGTGTTTGAAGATGTAGATTATAAGGAGGCAAAGTACTGTTGACTTCTTTCTCCACTGGACACCAACTAACTACTGTAGAATACTTTATTTTCGCTTGGAATTTATTTTCGCTATTTTCGCTGAAGGGATTATTCCGTGAAAATAAAATCCAGAATATACATTTTTTCCTATATTTCACATTAAACTCGTCAAAAATCAGTGAGAATAAATTCCTTACAAAACGCCCAAAAAGGCTTTTCAGCGAAAATTAATTACAGTGAAAATAAAGTATTCCACAGTATGTAAGTTGATTTGCATACAAAGCAGAGCTTGCAACATGATAGCTATTCATAGAGGGCGTTTTCAAATAATACAGTAGTCATTCAATGAATATAATAAGGCAGTTCATGTTTGTCCCAGTGAATCATTAATTTTTTACAGACACCTGTACAAAATAATTGGGCAAAAGCCAGCTAAGATTTTCTGGTTCTGGTTTCTTGCATGGTTTATGAATCTATTCACGTCTAAATGCAGCACCTTTTTTCTGAGATGAGGCATTTGTTTTTATACTAAAAAATCTGAATTACTTTGAATAAAGCTGGAAATTATGTCCCTTAAAATAATTAAACAAATCGGGCACCAATGTTTTTGTAAGATATTTACATCTATCAAGGACATTTAGTAAACTGCTTTCCCACTGTTGTTTCAATCCTAATACTTATTTGTATTCAAAATTAATTATGACAATGCATATTTATATTGAAACAAACTATGATAGAAAAAATAATATATAACAAAGGGCAAGGTCACCAGAGTTCAACTATGTTTAGTAAATTTCTATGAAAAAAATCCCAATTTACTAATGACAGAGAAAGCATAGACTTCACGGAGGCATTGGAAGAAATTTACCCATTGTTCAAGGAGTTTCCCTTGGTTCTCTCAGAAAAATGTAGATTTAATCAAGATTTGCCTTGAAAATAGTGCTCTCTTAAGTTGCAGTGGTAATTACCATTTAGTTTTAGGCGCTGTTGAACCAGGCCATCTGACTGATATTCTAGTTTTAACAAATTATTTTTACTGACCGTTCTACCTAGCCGGATTTATTTTTATGTCATACATGTATAATGGTGGGTGTCAGATAGCTGCTTAATGGCCATTTGGTTGTATTTTACAGGGATGAGAATTTTCTGCGGATTCGCAGATTTCTAAGCCCCAGGGATCGATTTTCTGAAACGCCTAAATCCGAAAAGAAAATTTTAGGGTGGGTAAGAATACAAATCTTGTTCATTCTTGTTGGTATGGTCGAAAGGAGACAACTCGTTGTGTTTCCAATGCGGAATGTTCGCGACTCTTTTCATCAGTGCAATCGTAAAATCCGAAGTGGTTTTGAAGTATTAAGTAACGATTAACATTAGCTGGGTTTGCTCCGACGGGCCAATCAGTGAAGAGCTTTCATTTTCTTTTCACCAACGGCACCATTTTATTGTTTCAATTGTTAGCCGCCTTGGATCATTGTTTACAAGTTTCATGCAGCGATAATGGTGAAATTGGTTACAAAAGACAACAAATCAGCTTTGTGAGAGATCGATAAAGACATTAGAAACAAACTTCGTTGGGCATGGCTTGACAAGGAAGTGACTTTGACAGTGTGAATCGAGAAGAAAGATGAAGTGGTAACTGAAAAAAATTGAGTGACTTCATCGGCAAGTGCGAGGTCCCGGGAAAGGCGCAGTGTCTGTATTGTAACGATTTTATCAACTATGGTTCTCGGACCTCGGCTACTTTACTTCAGTTGAAAATTAAAATTCTCATTCTCATCCCTGACTTTAATGTCAGTTTTCTTCCACTTTCTTTAGCTGTGTTTCAGGAGATATTGTCATACACAATGTCGAAGGTACAGTTATAGGCAGTATGCAAGTACATTCTCTACAAATCAACTGGAAAATTTTTCAATAATAATAAAATGGCCTTATGGTAAAAATATTCAAAGTAAAATGAAATCTGTATTAAACTGAAAGCAGGCAACGTCAGGCAAGTCCTAATTGCTCCATGAATGGCTAATTATTCTAGTTGCATAATCCTTGCAGTGTGTAGCAGAATATGAAGCCTGGTCACTGAATGTAATTTTTCCTGACAATAAGCCAGTGTACTAAAAGAGTTATTTTTTACTACACACTTATCCAAATTACAGTGGTAAAATAAACAAATTTTTGATAAGGGCATTCTCTGTACGATGTTCAACATGCAATAGGCCAGTAGTGTGGGCACTCTATTTATTTCAACATTTTTCGCTGTACATGTTACCATAGTTGCTGCATGTTTGGTAACTTACTGCGAATGCCTTTATTACAAACTAATTATGTATTTTTCCCCTGTAGAGGGTGGTCATATTCAATATATAGGTCTTATGTGATGTGTGAGAAATGCATATTTTGTTACGAACTTTAAACATGTGCTGCATGATGAAGCCACAGTGTTGCCAATCTCTGTGACTGACTTAAAAACAAGATTGGAGAAAATGTAATTTATAGTTTCACACTGAATTGTAATATAATTAAACTTTTTGTATATATTTAATGCTGGTTGGTATACTAAATATCTAAATATGAATCAGTTTGTATTACAATGTTGCATCTTTGAGAGATGAAATCAGTTTGTATTACAATGTTGCATCTTTGAGAGATGAAATCAGTTTGTAATGTGTACATTGGGTAACATAATTATATTTTGATACTTTCACATTTTCAATCAACTCGAACTTTGTATGAAGGATTAGGCTACACTGATTTAATTTTATGGATGACATCCTCTGGAGACCACAAAACTAATGCGTGAGGGCGAAAAAAAAAAAAATCTTGCCAAAAAAAAAATCCTGCTAAATCCACAGGACTTTCCCTGGCCGACGTCAATTGCATACCAGTCAACAACAATCCCTCCGTTTTTTCTCTGAACTTTTATGCTCACGTATTTTGGTGGTGCAGTCGCCATGTTGGAATTCCCGGCAACGCAATACCCATGTGCAGAAGATCATTTACGACAAAATAGGCACGTTTGGAGGTAGTCCAAAACGAGTTCTACGACAAGTCCGGCGCTTTGCGACAATACGAGTCAGCAAGTTCTGGATAGAAAACCGATATGTGGATACTCGTCAGAATTTTTTTTTTTGAGAACAGGCTAAAACTAATGCGCGCGTGGATGTCATCCATAAAATTAAGTCGGTGTGGCCTTAGACCAAATGTATGCGGCGTTTTACTCAATACATGCTGCAACACTAATGCTTAAAAAGTATGCAGAATACTGTATACTGAGTGGAATGCTTCATAGATTACTTGCTTGTGTGGAGTGCCATATAATGGAATGTCTCAGTATGAATTGAGAACCATACCTTGTATGTTTCTAGATTTTTTTAAAAAAAATAGCTAAGATGAAATGCTTTGGAGGTCTTGCATGAATTTACAGATTCTGAAATTTTATATGCTACCAATATCATATTTATATGCAGTAAATTAGTGCTTTAAAAGTGTATAAAATATGGAATAAGTTTTTACATAACTCTTGATGGATTTGTTTTGGATTTTTACATTTATGTGAATTTGACAACATTGACAGTTTTTACATGATCTATCACATGTAGAGAGATTTGTGGGCACATGCATGTCAAATGGAGAGGGATTTGTGGGCACATGTATGTCAAATGGAGAGGGATTTGTGGGCACATGTATGTCGCATGTAGAGGGATTTGTGGGCACATGCATGTCAAATGTAGAGAGCTTTGTGGGCATATGCATGTCACATGGAGAGGGATTTGTGGGCACATGCATGTCAAATGTAGAGAGCTTTGTGGGCACATGCATGTCACATGGAGAGGGCTTTGTGGGCACATGCATGTCGCATGTAGAGGGATTTGTGGGCACATGTCAAATGTAGAGAGCTTTGTGGGCACATGCATGTCAAATGTAGAGAGCTTTGTGGTCACATGCATTTCACATGGAGAGGGTTTTGTGGACAATGTGCGTGTCACATTTCCTGTGAAAAATATACACTTTGCTAATCCAATTTGGTATTAAAAGTGAAATTCTGAAGTCCTATATTCTAATTAAGATTATTTATGTAAATAACATTGCATTTTAATTGGGCAAATTGTGTTGTAAAAAAATCGAAGATCATAGGTCCTGTCTGACCACTCAGAAATGTTGAGGTTGCTGCTGATTAGGCATATACCGGGGGTATTGCAATCTGCCATTGGTAATGTCATCCCCTCAGTGGCTGTCAGCCATATTTAATGCATTGTACATTATGTAACTTTCTGACACCCATCCTGTAATGGAATTCTACTTTTTATGTTATCATTAAATAAAGTTGCTGGGATTGTTCAGTGTTTGTTTCAATTGTGTTATTCTAGCTGGGACCACTTATTAGTGTTCTGATACCTCTAATCAGATGCATGTACTCTACCAAGATCTCTGGAATTGGGGGTTGGGGGTTCGTCTTGGTAATATGTTGCATATAACCAGGAAATTTAACAAAAGAATGAAGGCTACATGGCATTAACTTTTTGTTTATTTGCATACTTTGTCATTTCCCAAAATAATAGATTTGTGATTATGTTTCCAGATGTAAATCCTGTCGTGGTCAGAATTTGTAGCTGTTGCCAGAAGGTTCCAGCAGGCTTAGGTATTCAGTCTATCACGCGAGGTTTAGTTAAATGTCTATTTTAAAGTGCCGCATAAATCCTGTTTTATTTCCACAGAACTTGTTTTATTCTGTGCTGACTGGCATTCACATAGGCTGTTGCAGAGAGAGTCTGTGTAACTAGTTGTCATTAACAAATGATTCACCAAAGTTCAGTTGAAACAGGGACTTGTAGTATAGTTTCCATGGGTGAATCAGGAGCTGACACGCCTGTACCTATTTTCTTCAAACCTTTCATATGCTCAATATGTTACCCGATACGTATGCAAATCTAGTGATTCGGTCAAAGATTGGCAACTGGTGGCCATTTGTGGTCAGAATACCATACTGTGGTGTATTTTTTACATGTCTAACTAGATCTCTGGCATGCGTTTTGCTGATTTGATAGAAGGATTAACTATTATGGATAGTTGATGCATACCACTTTGATTTGTAATTCGGTGGCCAATTCATTTTTAACAAATTATATTTTAGACGTGTATCTTGTACAAGCTTTGAGCAATTCAAAATTTATACCTTGATTTCCATCATGGCACACATACAATAACATTGTCATCTGATCATAAAACGGCCAACTGCTGACTGTTTTAGTGTTATTTTGACATGTCCACCACCAGATCATGGGTATAAAACTTGGTGAAAGGAGTACCGGTAATCATTACTGAAGGTTGATGCATATCACTTAATTTGTAAAGTCAAGGTGGCTGACTCAACCATCACAAGCACTGCAACATCGAGGCTTTTTGCCATCTATGTGTGTGAATATATACCTGTGGGGTATATGATGTGAAGAACTATATTGTCTTCTGATGTGCATGTGTTGCCTGATTAAGGGGAAAAGTATATAAATTGGCAAAGACACTGATTTGCTTTCAGTATGGAGTACGCTGACTGGTAGATTGGGAGAACACCTGGTGTGCAGATTTTTATTAGCATTTAATGTGACTTCTGTGTGGAATCAATACTCTTGAGAAGGTGTTTTGTGCTCGGCGAACTGTCTACGTCCACCTGTCTTGTCGAGGGTCGACCACGCTAACTATATCTACGCCTACATGAATCACGACGTGATTTGTTAAAAAACAGAAGAACACCTTGTAACGTGACATTGCATTGCACACCCACATACCCTACTAGGTATGACAGTTTGGGCAAGGTTTATTGTAATATTTTGAGAGAACTCTTTAGAATTTAGGGAATTTAGCGTACCATTATTTTGATCTATAGTGATTAGCGGGGGGCAAGGGTTATTTTCGTTCAACGTAATTACAATATATTTTTGTTCGTACAACGTAAATTGAAAAAATAAATTCCGTAATTCTGTAGACAGGCTAGACGTACAACGTAATCAAACATTAGTTTTTTTCGTACACTGTAAAAATGTGTCATTTTGCTCGGCACGTACAAGAATTAACATCCAAATAAAAAACGTCGTAAAAAATAATCAAGGGAAATTTCATTTTCGAAACTGTAAAACGACCAGATGACACAATTCACTGCAAAATTCAATCTTCACTGTAAACTTTAAAAACGTCTTTTTTTTTCTTGTAAATTGTAAAAAGCCATTTTTATTTCCCGTAAAGCTGTACCAGCTACCCCCTTGCCTCCCCTCTGATTACGTAACCGATTGTCAGCTAGCATAGTTATCACATTGTTGGCTTAATACTTGGCTGATTTTACCTTAAACTACTATAATAGTAGTCTGAGATTTTAGGTGTGCTTACGTTGTATATCTTTGTGTATTGTAAATGTTATATAATTAATTTGAACGTGTTTCTTGCATTTCAGTAACACACTGTACAATGCGAGTCATCTCTAAATGTATTGAAGTTATATCGTGTGCTTGGAACCTTAGTGACATAGCATCCTTCCCAGAATGCGTCAATTACTGCAGGATTTAAGACACTATGTAACCGTGGCAATCTTTCAAAATAAGAGTAGAGCCAAACGAGTTGCCCACAATGCTTGCATTGTAAAATTACCATCAACACATTTTTTGTCAAAAGACATGAATTCATGGGAAAATAACAAAAAGATACCGCACAATTGAGTAAAAATATCTAATTCGTAGCCGCGCCAAACTATTAAACCTGAGGCAATCTAAGTTTACTGCCGGGTTTTCAGAGATCAGTCACGTGAAACAGCGCCACCACCGACTAAGAGCGGACACCTGGTATCGTATCAGAAATGCACTAAATCTGAAATTGGGTTTATCTATAGACAATCATGTATGACCTCAACACTGACTTATATTTGAATGACGTCAGTCCAAATATATCATGTTCAAAGTATGACCAGAATGGGTGACAGTCAGCAAACATTTATCCGAATAAATTGGACCTGGTAAACAATATGGTTGAAGCGCGGTGGTCGAATTTCATGTAAATAATGTATTTTCCACGCGTTGTATACGTCGCTATGAGTCCCATGTCGAACAGGACGCGGCACGACGACTGCCGCACTTCAAATCACATTAGAGGCGATCAACAATACGCTTACTGACAGGAGAGCTAAAGCCGGGTCACTTGAGTTGATACCTTTATGACTGGTATCACCACAAATATCTGGAGAAATACACGACGATATAGTAAAATTCCCGCCTTCTGGCGACAAGGGATTTTGTGACGTAAATGACCTGGGTAGATGTTGAAAAAAAGGCCGTCCACACGCCGATGTTTAAGTATTTTGATCTGTATTCTCTGTCTATGAAAGTCAATGTTGTCGCCGGAAATTGTCTATTTCTGAACGGAGACTACAGAACAAAAGACAGTGATTTTGTACATTTTTCACGTCATTTGTAATTATAGGAAATATGCATTACGTATATTGCAATGTTTACTATCTAATCAATGAATCAATGAAGTCATTTGGCAACAGAATAATTACCGCCACCTCTTATTCAACAGACCGAGTTTGGTCAGTGAAATGACTGAAATAATTTATACAAAAGTCAGTTGTTTGGTAATACATATGCTTTAGAAGATTTATTTTGAAATATAATAATAAATAACAGACTTATAAAGTGACGACAAGTTAATAATAGTAATAAATAAATAATTCTTCGTCAAAATGCGTCTTTATTTCTCTTCTCGAGTGTCTAACCGACTCATGAAGTCTCCTGGAAACACGTCTACTGTAATAAAAGCAGAGATAAATCTACATTACATCTTATTGATAAACCCTTGTGCCCGCTGAATGTTTACCCGTCAACAGAGGGCGCACGCGCTTATCATATTACACTCTGGCCAAGCCGCGTCAATTACATAATTCGTTTTTAAAATCTTGGTCCGACGCGAAATTGGGAATTTTGAGTCAACACCAGAGATTTTACAGATTCGAACTTAAAAGCAATTATCATATGAAATTATCATGATTCCTCAAAGCATTTTGATTACAGATGAAAACATATATTAAATGTTCAATATTGTGCATTCTGATAACAGACAATTTGAATTATTATAGTCGTATATTCACACTTCTAATAATCGAATTATGTTATGTATTGATAGTTATTCAGTTGTACATACCAAATCAATATACGCACATGTTATTTTTATTAGCGGATTATATTGTTTCATCGAACGAACGTTTTTAGCTCAAAATAAAACCATATTCCAACGTATTCATCAACATAAAATAACAATATTTAGAATAAGTTACAGATTTTTTTTATTTAATATACATTGCCTCTAATTACATCTGACAATTCGACCTTTGCAAACCGTATTCAGGTGTTTTGATTTATAACCACTCTGTACTCAAGCTACAGATCGCGTTCTGATTGGTTAACATATCTCAGACTCTCAGAACGGAGCTCCAGTTGAGTCGAAGCAGAATTCGATACACCGAAATAACATGTCAACAATTTGCCCTCTGATTGGTCTAGGTGTTATGGTTGGGTAACCAATCAGGGACAATCCTGTGAATAGGTTTGCATTGAATCAAAAGCTGACTTGGTGCGATTTGCATATTGGGTTGGAACTGATGACGCAGTGGAGTGAAGCACTTTTGTATATGCATAGAATAGTGGAATGGAGGTGAGGGAGTAAAATTCGGAATAAAACAAAATGAGGTAACCAGGAATTTTAAAACGTTATTCACTTTTTGATGTTCTGTTTTTTTATGTTTTTTGCTTTAAATGGTTGAAGTAATTGCAGGCAGCTACGCGTCAGTTAAAATGATTTTTTTAAATAAAATCTAATACCAAATTTTTATATTTAATTTTTAAACATAATTACGCTTAATGTTTAGTCATAAATACGCTTTTCAAAATGGTCAACAACAAAGGGTAATCACAATAATGTTTTACTAAAAGCTGATTGGCTAACCAGCATTCTCTCATTTACTGCCGTTGGTGGCGTGATTGACATAATGACTGATTCAGTGTGCCCAGCCACGAGTACACCAATCCATAATTCCAGGATGAACAGTATATAAAGAAAAAAACATATAGGGCAACCAACGTTTAACAATATATATATTTGTATTCTAAGCACTATTTTCTTAACTCCATACGAATATTGCGTGACGGCTCAACGTATATTGTGACCTCACCGTTACATGTGCAACATGGCCTTATGTGAGTTTCGAGTTAATAAATAACAAACATTACACTTGGCTCAGGCTTGCAAACATGGGATAGTTTTCAATCATTCTCACGGAGAAACATTTAATATTGACGGATACACCGAGTGTATCTATATAAATATTAAACGTCATTTCAAATGTGAAACCAATATTAAAACATATAAGACAAATTTTCTTCAGACAAAGCTCCATGAGTTTAAACGTCACGAAGTCCATTCCAGTTTGACAGGGTCAGATCCCGGGGGCTACTTGCATAGAAGTGCAATATGCGTATGTGTCGCCCGACTGTGGTGTCATTTCACGTTATTTTGTTTAGAAGGGGGTGGGTTATCAATGATTTGGTTTAGAAGTGTGTAGCAGTTATTTACTTTTTCACTGGTTCTTATATTCAAAGCCAAATACTGGAAAAGGCTGAATAAAATGCATTGTCCGGATGCGCTCACTGGTTGCGAAAGTTGTGAGTTGGGTGTTTTTTTTTTCACTGAAAAAAAACTTCTGTTTAGAAGTGGGTATATAAATAGAAAAACAAATGGTTTAGAAGTTAGTATGGTTTACGAGAGGTGGGCTTCACATCCTTACCTACTTAATATGAAAGTAGCCCCTGTGGAGTTCAGATGCTGTTGCTACATCATATTTCAATTACATTGTTCTATACTAAGGTCTAAAAATGTTATGTTTCTGGCCAACGTGCCGTGTCAAATAGCATTAGCGTCCCACCGCCCTATTGAAAAAAAAACTTGAAACAGAGACGTTTTTTTTTTCGCGGGGTATAGTATGTAATTACAAACTGAGTCTGTTGGAGTATGCCTCCAATTTCCAAATGTCCGAGTTACCGCTTGCTGTTATTGAAAACAACTCGAAATGTATGAAAACGTAGTGACACTTACATGCCTACATACCTGACGATGGGTCCATGCACAGAAACTTTCGTTGTTGGTAGTCAAACATGCATTTGTCGGCCCATGGTGGGCATGTACACCGCTGTACGGGCCTGGCACTGATACCGGCAATACGACCCAAGCATGGCTCATTTGTGATACACTGAAATAGATGAAGACGAGACAAAAGTTATTACGAATAAATGTCATCATCGATACAATTAACGTTATACGTTTCATTGTGACAATTTGGTGTCTTTTTCAACCCGTTTTATGTAATTTTATATTTTTTGTTAATAAACACTGTTGGTTTTATCTCATGAAAAGTAACAAAAGTTAACTTTGGTGCTCAAAAGAGTTAAATGGATTTGAAAGTAGTTTATGAAATAAAATAAAATCAAACAATAATCTAACAATTCTTTACTAGTAATCTTAATCTCGAACCACCGTAGCTTACAAGAATAATAAAATAAAATAAAGCTTCGAGATTGCATTCTATAGTTTGGTGAAGAGATTGAACACAACACAATCAGCATCGGTTTCTGAGTGAATGTACGCATGGGAAACATATTAAAAACTAAAAGAAATTCATTTCAAAATGAATTTCATTTTTTTTTTATTTTGAAACATTGTTGCATCAATTCGACATCTTCTTTCCCCGATGGAAGCCATGTATGAACTTCGTATATGTAATCTGCTTAAAAATAACGCGGCACGTTTTTTTTTTTAACAAAAACGATGCGTCAGTGATAGATGCACTTGGTTTATTATATGCTTAGTCACACCATTCAGACACGATCCGTCGGGGCCGAAATAAAAGGCAGGTATATGTTAAATTGAGAAAGACACGGTCCCTGGGGTTTGGAGTAATACAAGAATATGTTAAATTCAGGAAGCTCGCATTTTATCCTAGTAAAAACGAATGGAACAACCTGTCAGTATGTGTAAAATAAGATTGACGTGTTTTTTTGGAATTACGGAAAGTAGAACGAATTTAATCAGCAAAACACGCTTTTCAAATTTACTTGTAGTGAACACGTGTCTGAATTCCGGAAATGGGAAGACATAGTATGTAACAATACAGAAATAACGTAATTAAAATATGTGACGTCATCGTGATTATTAACAGTTTTAAACTATATTGGCAGACAGCATAAAATATATTTTATATCATTATTATCTGGCTATCAGGACGTATAATTAACTGAACGCAAAGATATATTGTACATCGCCAGACATGGAGAGGTCTAGATTATGACTATATGGTCGTATTCAAAATGGCGGCAGCGTGACGATTTCACAATAGACTTGTACTTGGCATCACCAACGACTGATATCATGGGGTACACATTTTTGCGATAATTAGGGAAAAGAAAACCACTAACACATCGTGGAATGGTCAAATCTAAGATTTTAAGCGTTCATATTTGCGAGGAGCGCAGCGCAGCTATTGTTATTCGTCCGTGGTCGCTAGGTCACCAAGACTAATGTCAGATTTCATGAACAATAGCCCGTATATGATAACTGTTACGGTGACAATATTGTCATATTGATCACGTGACAGTTTGAGGTTTATTTATTTATTTATTTTCACCATAACGCAACGGAAAACACCATAATAAGTGAGCACATAATATAAATTCAAATTACCTGTCAGCAGATAACCATGTACCCAATTTGAGTACGGATTTTTTAACACCTATGTTAATAACACGAGTTGGAAATTCTACTGAAACGATGACAAATTTGAATAAAGAATTCCGGTTTCAATTGCTGTTTAGCTATGTTGTGCTCTAGAGAGCTGATCGATGTTGAATCAATTCTGGCCGGCAGTTATTTTAGCATATCAGTTTCGTACCGAGTATGTTGATGTTATGTTGTAGGCATCCAAGTTACCTATGAAAGTATACAATATGCTTGAAAGAAAAAAAAAGTGTTTTTTTTCATATAACATTAACATATAATTTATAACATTTTGGTCTCTGTACATGTTTTTGTAAGATATCTCTGGAGTATAACATCTACTCATCTTGTGAAAAACTGGTTCAAAAGCCACTGGCTATAAAATTTATTGAAATGTTTTGCAGCATCACGTATTATCCGAGTTGAAGAAAACTGAGCGATTGGGTCACTGTTAGTCACAATTTAATTTGAGTGAGTAAATCACGGTAATGTCAGAGATAATTGGTATTTGCGCTATATATCCCGAGGTACATGGCGAGTTTTAAATGTCATACTACGTATTATTAACTAACTGCAAAATATTTCAATTCAAATGAACAAATATTTTAATAAATTATTAACTATGTTTTCATAACATGTTAACCAAGACGAATCGGAACCACGATCTCTATGACAACACAGTTTTATTTGTGAAATACTCCAATTAATGACTTTTTTTTATGGAGCTCATTTTTTTTCACCTAGCTAAAAGTTGCCGATATATACTGTTGCATATATACATCCCTGAGGTACCGACGATTTCCGTCTATTGGATAAAAGAACTTACACTGCTCTCTACGGGACTCCTAGATGCAGTCCGCCGACCTCCCTCTGGGTTCGTCAGTTAGTAGCCGTCAAATTTCATGTTGCGTGACGTATATAGTAGCAGTGAAAGCAGTCATTAATTGACGTTTATTGGACCAGTGTAGTGTGAATTGAGTCATATAAAACGTAAGTTTGATGACACACCTAGTGACGAGGACGTGTTTCGATACAACAACCACGTACAATCGGCTATGGTGTGCGTCAGGTGCCCGTGTATGAGTTACTGAGTTTGATTCCATTCTACGGAAGCATCGCATCTAGTTTAAAAGTTGGCCGAAGATAGGCTGCCTTAAAAAATGTTGTTGTTTTTTTTTAATTTTTTTTATTTGTCTCATATTTTGGGTCAACGTTCTCACATTGTCAACACTTTAGAGCTCTATCATTAACAAATATCAAATTACCGTGAAACGTGCAAACATGTTATTTTTTTGAACGCTCTGCATAACATGCAAGGCTGCACATAAATAATGAAAAGAATAATTGGTTATAGAAGACAATTTGGGAATTTTAAATTCAGTATTCATTAATATATGTCGTGAATTAACGCATTACGTCAAAACGTCATAGGACTAGCATATTTCATTTGAAAATAGGAGCATGGCTCTTTCCCATTACAAATTTCGTGCACAATTGTTATCAGGAATCAACTCACTAAATGACTTCAAAATATAAGAATTCCCCCGAAATATACATCACTTAGATGGTTCGGGATGCTGAGTCCAAAATAGCAAATAAAACCAGACGCTCATCACGATAAAATGTCGAGGCGTTTTATTTCTGATATTCCGGAATATTTCTCGTACGAGGGTTTTATCCTGTACAAATATAAACGAAATAAAAAAAAACATTACGTTAGAACCTTGTCCCTGGGACTCACGTCTCAGGAATCTCGTATGCTAATAGTATTCAGGGACTCGCATTACGTCGTTCTGATACTCCGGCGATTCAGACCAGCTTCCAACAAGTAAAACAATCTACCAATCTTTATAATGTGTGATTAATTGATATAATATAAAAGACAATAATATATTATTATTTAAATAAGTATGAGACGTCAATTGTGAAAACACTATATTTTCTTTCAATATAACGGATATTCTTTCCGCGAAGCACAATAATACAAATTGTCTGAAGACGATTGATTGTCATATTTTTTCAGTTATTAAAAATTGCACAATGTAACTTACAGTTTTGATTGATGTTATAATACACTATGAAATACCCAATTAATCAAACAAATTCGATATTTACACTGAAATTCAACCCATACTCACGGGTTAGCATCTTTAATTCAATATTTAATGTAAAAAAAACACAATATCACAAAATAAATTTGACAACACTTTCTAGCGTATTTACTTCAAGTTGCCGCCGTAATTGTACTATGGGATTTCCTTCCATGCACGATATTTTTAAGCAAGAAATTGAAGTAATGCGCAGTGTGTATTTTCCATACTGCAGATATTTCAAATTATTATTTTTAATCTAACAACAAAAGCCTCAATTGTGTATAGTATCTAAGTCTAAAGCCAGAAATCAAGATGAAAATTGTATCACTACACGCGATATGTTTTTGCATCACTTTACCGTCCGAATTTACAGTGAATTCTGGGTCACTTTTAAGACACATGGAAAATCAGGGATAAGAAAAATGCGTCACAGTGCATCACATATGCATTTCGATGTTATTTTTAAACCCAAGTTCGTAGCGGATTTTGAGTCCGGTATAGATTGTCTGAAACCACCTTCCGTAAACAAAGAAACTTCGCTTTTACAGCTTTCACAGTCGTGTTTTACCCACTACAGGGTAATTGAGTATACGGGCTTGTGTTGTTTAAGTCGTCTGAACATACAAATCGATAATAAAACTGTATATCTAACGTGACTTTGAACTTTTGGGTGTTAGGAATTTTATGCGTTAAATATAATAAAACATTACATGTATCTTGATTGATCGTCGCTGTTAACAGGACACGACGTCATATCATATATAGTATGCCATGTTGTCTACATACTTCAATATTATAATTCAACTTTTTGAAGTTTTATAAACGTGTTACTTCTATTTTTAAACTATATGTGTACTAAATATGTGACCAATTTACAGATTTGATAAATACGGGATTGTCATCGTAAAATATACCCTCACAATGAGTATGAAAAATAAATAAATATTTTGTATTAATAAATACCGCATTTCATCTAATTGTTATCATCTTACTTATAATAATATTCAAATGCAATTATATGTTACGCTCATTATCAGCACCATTCAGCTGTTGTTGGCGATAATATCCGATAAACTACCACAAAAATGCAAGTTATTTTTAAAACAAATTAAAACAGTCACTTACAAAAGATTCTTCGTTAAGACTATATGATGTCACGTCATACGCATTAATGACGATAATAGCGACCATCATGACAACTGTAAACTGCAGCATTGTAGGTGACATGATTTCACGGTTGATTCTTGTAACAGCACACCGTAGTAAAGTGAGAAATGAATGACTGTGTCGATATCATGTACTACCACGCCTTATATAGGTAGTGACGCGGAACACTCAACAGGTGGGCAGGGCTCCCTAAGCGAGCAGTTATTCGCACAAAAGAAACTTTGATTATCTCGATTCGGCGAAATTGGAGTTTTTGAACGAGTGCTCGACTGGGGGGTTTATCCGGTGTGTGTAACTTAATCAGCGAAGTTTGTTTCGTAGAAGGATTCAACTACAAGTTGACGTTTTGAATAAATTTTCCAATATGGGGGAAAGCACGATTATACATTTTAGAAATTATTCAGCACCATGTGAAATAATGGACGTCAAGTTTTGTACATTAGTATGTGTCAGTAAATAAAATAAAATATCTTATATATGTTGATTTGCTTTGATTATTCTTTTTACTGTATTTATTTGGAATATACCGAGATACAAGTCCCCACTTGTTAAGGAACCACATTGTTACATTTCAACCGCTGGCTTGTTTGATTTCATGAGCAAGTGGTCGCACTGTTAACTTGTTTATTTAACTGTTAACTACTAAGCATGTCAATCTTTCCGATTTGAGGAGCCAATTTCATTTCTGAGATTAAATACGGACTCCGAGTAAATAGACTTTTATTATTTCAATTTTAATGAAAAACAAGAACAAATACAAACTAGCGCACACATCGCGCACGATGAGAATTGCTTCCTGCCACCGGTGTCTCTCGAAGTCTATTAATAGGTACATTTTAACGTTTACATCATCTAATATAATAACGTAAAAATATAGGAACAACGGTAAATTCGCTGAATTCTATTTTCACTGAATCATTCCTTAAGCGAAAATAGTGAAAATTAATTCCAAGCGAAAATAAAGCATTTATTTTACAGTACCTGACTCTACTCCAAATGGTCAAAATATGCATCATTTTTTAAACTGGTTTCTAAAGTGAGATTAATTCTTCATATCTCAAAATTAATATAGAAAGAAAAAGTCATATATTAATACGAATCCTTATATTGTTTACACATGATGACTTATAATTTAGTCAGTTCCCATTATGATAATTGTATACCGAAATATACAAAGAGAATACTGTATATTTCCCACAATGCACTGCATATGTGCAGTAACATGCTCAGTAGTTCAAAATTTGAATTTGGTTCGATGATGCTCTGTGTTCGATATAGATGTGAACCCCATACAACACACGTAGCACATGTTGTTTGTTTACACGAAATTCGAAAGCACGCTGCAAAGAACACTCCTCTGACTTATTGTCAAGTTTCATAATATTGTTACATACAATTAAAATATTGAATTGATTCTGTAATCGTGGTTATATTTAGTTCTCCGTGTACATAAATACATACATTTGATAAACGGTTGGAGTGTTCTTAACGGCGAACTTTATGGAATAAAATACTGATTTTTAAAACTGTCACAGGATATAATGCTTAACTTCCCTCTCAGTAACGCCCAAATAATTATTTGAATTTTACGGTCGTAAACAGAACCGAAGTGTAGCCTACAGGAAATGAGTCATCTCAATGAACCAAACCGCTTCCTGGAGTAACGAGATTGTGTTCCCCACACTGACGTACATAGGGGGTGTGCTTATTTGATTTAACAGCAATACGGTGCATCGTGAGAGGAATATTTCGCTTGAAACGTAAACATATCATACAGAGCCACGATTAAGGTGAAATGATGTTTTCTGCAAGATATATTAAGTAGCACCCGTATGTACGTCATCATTAACCTTGTTATACAAGTCGGTTTACGCTTTGATTATTTTACAGTTGTCATGGTTTCATTTGTTGCAGAAAAAATACTATCAGAATTAAACTAGATGGATATATACAAATATTTGCTTTCCAATAAGCTAGAAATTAAGATGTATTTTGTTTAGTGTATGTTTGACTTTATAAGAAGAATGCATGTGATATTTCTACGAACTTGAATCATTCATAGACTCAAATCACAGAATAAAAACCGAGAACAACACAATGCTTCGTCACGGAACAATATATAGACCAAGACAATGCCCCGACACTGAACAATTTATATTCTATAAATAAATTTTGATTATTATAAGTCAATGTTTTTTACGAGGCGACAGGTTTAACTGTTTTCTGGAGCATGTGTTTTCAATAATTTAGGTAGTTTTTCTTTTACTGTAAACTTGAACGTAATGCGCTTCGTTAGTCATACCCCTGCACTTCTCCGGACATAACGAAATGACCACATGGAGGAGATAATCCCATGTTATAAGAAACATGTGCAGTTTATATTATACGTATATTTATCAAGTTGATCACTGGCGAAACTCATGTCAACATTATGACGTTGTCACCAGAGCAGCGCGTCTGATACAGTGTATATGTTCATTCGTCGATTATGATAACTAATCAGAAATCACTCTGTAAGTCTTCTCCGTCATCGCGATAAACATAAACTATATTCATATGACGCGAGAATTTACAGAAAATACAACAAAAAGTGGCTTCCACAAAAGTGGGAATTTAGAAGCATGAGCAAATACATAAATTAAAATAGATGGTTGTTATTAACGGGGTCACACTGTGCTATAATGTGAGCACCGCTGAGGTCAGTGTAATCATGTAAATTATTACTGTATTATTTGTAAGTATTAAACCGCTATCGGCAACAGTTACACATATGATTTTGTAATGCAATTTGACACTAAGTTGTCGCGTATAACACTCCAGCTTAGACAACTAGTGAGTTGATGAAAAAGTGAGACTTAAATAACACAGTTGTTTTTTCTGACTTGTTTCTTTTCCGAGCTACATGCTGAAAAGACATATAATGCATTTTATGACCCGAACTGTGATTTAAGCGAATTTTGACCCGTAATAGTTATATTTCAGTAATGAATGCTGAAATTGTCGACACTTTTGCGCGAAAGAGGTCCCAGTTTGGAGGCACATATGTCTACAACTTTGATTACCCCCAAGTTCAAGTGAGAAAAATACATTCCTGCTGAAGCTAGTAATTTAGTAAATTATTAATAATACATATTGTGTCAAATCATGGTTACCAACTTCAGGTGATATATAGAATAAGTTATAAATACATTGTCACCACGGCCTGGCGTGTTGTTTCTCGTTGCGTGTAATTACAAACGATTTGGTAGATCCCAGCTATCACGAACCTGAAAAACGACTTCGTTGTTTTCCGTTCATTCAATCTCACATTGACTTCAGATGCTTTGATGCGTACAGTTGCTCTTAATCCACACAGTGTTATGTTATAATTCACATACTGTCGGTAAGTGGGAAGGAAAAACTCGGCTTACTTTCATTTGTACACAATGATTCCCCCCACACACTAACATTGCTATCCCGAGTCCCCACCTTCCTTTAGCTGCTTCTGGAAAGCACACAGTCGACATCGACCGGTCGATAATTCTTTTGTACTGCAATTATACTTTGTGGGACTCCTCGTAATAACCACATATTCACTCGTTTTTCTAATATTATGGATACAATTACCCCTTCTCTACGAAGTTCACATGGGAGGCCGATATACATATGTACGACATGTCAGTACTCGACTGATTTTAAAAATGAAATGCCCCTGTAATCAATATATTGTGCAGGAGTGATCCGAATGTGAGGCTGGCTGAGCATGGACATGTCCATTACTGTATTGTAAAGCGTAAGTGGGGTGCATTATCTATGGTTAAACACTGGATAATTACACGCGCATTGGCGTGAAAGCAGTGTATTAACGGTATATTGGTTGTACATCGTGGTTCGCAATCCACTGACGCGTGAATCCGGCATGCGTTTCCGCTTTCCATCCCCTTCAGCAAAGTAGACAGGAAAGTACTAGAATTATAGTTACAGGGTTCGCGTAAGATATGTTCGCTGGAGAGAAGCAGGGTGTAGATTGTGCCAGTGGTGTTAGTCACGTGATTAATAGCAGGAAAAAGAAGGAAATATAAGAGAGTGAGATGAACAAACGAAAAATAATCGTGTAAAATCAAGGACTTTGTATTCGTTATTATTTCTTCATACTTCATGATTGTTTAGTCCTATTTATATTAAAGCAGGGGAGTCGTCACTTGCGCATGCGTCAGATGGCCATAGCGTGTCATTGTTTACAAACAAGCGTCTACCCATGAGCCTTTGCGTTTTAGCGTGAGTTGCTATCGTCGCTTGGGACTCAATTCCCGCGCGTGCGCAGGTGACAAAACTTCCGCTTTAAGACTGTTATGCCGTTGTAAGTTGCAGTCACGTTGTTGTTGTTAAATTTAAGCGCTGAGGGAAACACGGTACGCGATGATTACCGAGTGATGGTCAACTCCCTCAACGGGAAACATTTATCTCGCAATATAACGACAGAACACTTAGTAACAAGTGGTGCATGGATAACTCTAGAATGGAAAATGGGAGTTTGGTTTTCGCCACAGAAATCAGACGGTGGACATTGAAGATTTTTTTTTAGAAAACTGCTCAATAATGTTTTTAATTTAGCCACCCTTTTTATTAATTAATGAAATGACCACTTTCAAATCAAATTAACATCGACCGCTTACAGATAGGTAATTAATTACTGGTTTCTCAGTACATTAATTTATTCTAACGCTGTTGCTACATTGTTTTACGTAGACTGTACCACCAATTACCCACAATGCAACACCAAATGCATCAAGCATCAACGCATCGAGAATGACGTCAGCGTCCCTGTGCAGAATTCATGACACAATATCGCGTTAAGTAAAACAATACTTGTATATTATAGTCAACTCGTCTTTCTTATTGCTGAACACTCCTTTACTCCAGTAGAAAAACAGGCATTTCATGTATTATAATAGCCGCAAAGATTGTAATGAGAATATACGATGATATTTCACTAATAAAACCATCAGTTAATTTTAATATCAGTGCAATCTTTGTATTGAGCAAAAATAGTATGTCATCTCAGCTTCATGTTACGTGACATACTGTAATTTAAAATATTTTATTTTAGCTGGAATTAATTTT